CACTGAGTTAAATCTCTAGCAGTAAAAGGAAAACAAAATACTGACCATTAAAATGGTGAAATCTAACCCATGTAACTTATAGGATCACTTTCTGTCTCCTCACATCATATAAATGGTGTGTGAGACTGGATGCAAAACCACGTACTGCCCCAAAATGTGTTCCCAAAACTGAGACAGAACTCCACTGCCGCGCAACTTGACAAGCTTTCCTGTGAGCTCTGGCTTACCCAACACCAGCAGATGAAGTACAGCACAGCGGCAGCCCTTCTCCCCACTGCATGCTGACCACCACTGCTCAGCTTTGTTTGTTTCTGAACATTATACAAACAGGTTTATACTCAATATACTGTCACGCTGCCCAGCTTCTTTCACCCAGCTTTTCATTTTTTGTGAGTATCAGTAATACATGACAGAGTTGTCTACTCATTTCCTGGGGGGGACATTTGGTTGCCTTTACTAGTCTATTATGAATAAAAAGCTTTGTACAGACAAGTTTATACAGACCTTTTGCAGGACATAAACACATTTTTTTCCTTGGTTCTATGACAACAGACTGCTAGGCCACAAAATAGGATTGTGTTCAATTTCAGTAGACAAGGCCAGATTTTGAAACTGAGGCATCAATTACTTATGAAGTGTTTCAGAGTTCACACAAAAATATAGTAATTGAAACGTTATGAGACAGAGATGGGGAGTGTCTCACTATGTTACTTTGAACTTCTGGACTCATGCTATCCTCTTGCGTGGTGGGACTGAAGGCATGGGCTAATAAGCCTGAAAATAAGGCTTGAGGGAGAGGGGAAGAACTAGGGATTAAACTCAGGGCCTCATGGATGCAAAGCACATGATTTACCACCAATGTCATATCCATCATATCAAGTTTTTAAATTTAAAAAAGCTCTTCAGTTGAAGCACAAAAGCTTTGAAGCTATTCTCTGCACCTGGTAACAGAGTGCTCATAACTAACACACAGGTGAATGGGGGAATATGAAAAGAAAACACTTTTTATTTTAATTTTTTATTTTTTATCTAAATAGTAAATGTCACTGTCATTTAAAATATAAACAAACAGTACTGCCCTTACTCAAGCCAGTTATGTTTATTAACTTTAGGCTTACTGTGATTTTCAGTTGTGAGAGCTTGGTTGAACAGAATTATGGGATATTTAATCAACTAGATTTCATCAAACAGAAAAATGACTTAAAAAAGTTCTACACAGGTCATACTAATGAATACAAGCAAACAGCCTTTAAAAATAGCTCAACTGGCATGTATAATCTAAAAAAACAAGCAAACAACAACAAAAAAAACCCACAAAAAAAAAACTCTTCAGAAAATTAAAAACTATGGCCAGTTGATAATTGGGAGAAGACCAAAAATATTCTAAAAACTAAGGCTTAAAAGTGTGGATTTAATACATTACTGTTTATATGTTAACAATAAAATATTTGAACCATAAAATATCCTTACTTCAAGTCATTCCCTTCGGAATCATTTTGGTGTTTATCTTACAATGTACATAGTAGTAGTAGTATAACATAAAAGGCATGCATGATTTTAAGGTAAATTTACGTATATTAAGGATGCATTCTCAAATTTTATCAACAAGATACTTAATCAAAAGAATTCAGATCCTTGTTTAATGCACTTTTTTTTAAAGTATTAAGCCAGTGAATCCTATGCACAGATGAACTTCTAGTTTTTAAAGCCTTATACAACAGTCCACAGAAATAGCTGCTATTTGATGTTAAAAATAACACAGGCAAACAGTAGGAGAAAAGGGAGGAAGACAGGAATCTGCCTGAAAGAGACATGAGAAACTTCCTAGTTACTGTTACTAATTTATATCCTGACAGGTATTTTTATTGTATCTGTATATATGCTAGTCAAATTCTGTGGATGTAAATTTAAGTTCCCTTCTATGTAAATTTTTCCTCATAAGGAAAAAAAAAGATTCATTAAATATGCTGACCTCTAATGACAAACATATTTAACTGTCTAAGAATAAATTATAATAATCTACAACTCACTCTGAAATATATCCAATTAAGATGGGCTGCTAAATGGATAAAAGATTGATATATGAACGGGAATGTGATAAAATACAGTATTAATAAAAACCTAGGTGGAAGACACATGGGTGTTCACTGTCTAACTGAACTTCTCTTACCATTTTCATGGTAAAATACTGGGAAAAATTAATACGTCTACTAAAGAGCTGAAAACTGCTAGAATATTAACTGAAATGGTGTAATGATGCAAAATAAGTTACAGCTTTATAAGAGAAAAATAGGAACATTTGAGCGCACTGCTCGTTCCTTGTCCTCTGGGTATGCTTCAAGAGTCACAGTGATTGTGTGAAGTGGGTGCAGTACCAAGTCCTATAAACAGTGCTGTGTTTTGTTTTTCTTGAAATGTACATAACTACAAAAAAGTTTAACCTATAAATGAGGTAAAGTTTAATTTATAAATTAGGTAAGGAGGTTAACAATAGCATAGATTAATTAAAACAATCTACTGTAATAAAAGTTATTTGAATTTTGTCTTTCCCTACCTCCCAGAACACTGTATGGCAATGCATTGTGCTTTCAGACTTTGGGAAATGAAAGCACAAATAAAGGATACTAATAAGCTCTTTATGTAGTGAGAATTATCCTTGTTTTACAGACTAAACTGAAATTCAGAGAGATTATAGAGGTATAGCCAGACCACTAAGTGTCAAAGCCTGGCAGGAGTGGAATCCAGCTTTTCCTCCTGCATCCTCTTGACCCACATTTCTCACAAGGTTCTTCCCTGAACCAAACATCTTCCTCACTGTCTTCCATTCCTGTATGGACCAGCTTTGATTTTTCAAAATCTCCTTCCTTCACTGTGAAAAAAAAAAACTTACCTTCCCACCTTAGGTTTGATTCTTTGGAGCCTCATATATTGCAATGGCCACATTACCAGCTTTTATAGAAGGTGAAAGTATTGGAAATACAAGCCCTGTTTTCCAGTTAGTGTTTTTAAATATCAACTGACAAAGGTATAAAATGAGGGATAATGCCGCATAAAATTGAGGAGAAAATGAGAACATACGTAGTCAAAATTAGAGCCTCAAAATACTTTTTCCTAACCTTTAACTTTCCTTGGAAAATGCAAAATGTTGCTCATTATAAAACAGTTTCAGTAAGTCTTAGAACCTTTCCTTACGAAGGTAAATGTGAACATACGCTTTTCTTCCATGCATCACTTTAAATCTGAAAACCTAATGGCTTTTGCTTTCTCATCTCCCTTTTTATCTTGGTTTGGAATTTTAACTTCTAGGATTTTTTTTTTTTTTTTTTTTTTTGTGCAGCTAGATATACAACTAGAAATGCTTCCGTAAAACTTTTGTTTCACTAATTACCACAGGTGGTCAACCTGTGAGAGCAATATGGGATTAAGGTTCTAAGTATTTTCTTTCTGACCCTCAGAGGATACTTTTCAAAGGTAAGATTGTATGGCATGACTATGACCTTTCTTCAGTGTATACATACAACCTCACAGAGCTGTTTATTTACTTGACAAGTACATACAGGGGCTCTCTGAAAGACTCTTCAAGTCGAAAATCTTGCCCTTTAAGCATTATACATTATTTTATAGGATTAAGAAAACCAAAACAGCAACAACCCAAACCAAAACAACCACCACCAGTGGTTCTACTTTGAAAACTTCGCCTTATCTAAGGACCTGGAGTTCATACATGAAGAACTTACCACAGCCTAGCGGAATCTGAATAAGTCTGTTTTTTTCCACTTGATGCCTGAGGTTGTTAGTGTTGGAAGGAATCCTAGAGATGCTTACTTTAAAGTTGCAGGAATGGATGTTGTGCAGGCCGTTAAAACGATTAGTCCCTAACGGTGCCTGAGTCACACGCCAGATCCCCTACATTCCCGGCCCAGTGTCCTTTCCATAAAACGATGCCAAAACAAACGATTACAAAATGATTGTGTCCACCAATTACCTCAACCTCACTAAATTTCAGCCTGCCCCTCTTGATGTCACTTCCTTTTGTGAATGGGTATATTTGCCCCTTGGTCTTGTCTTCACTTCATTACCACACAACACTTGAGTTCACACTCCCAATTTTTGTCAGCGGCGGTTTTCCCCTGGCGATTTTTGTTCCTCGGGGATACCAACATTGTCTCCAAACTGCCTTGGCTATCCTTTAACTATATTTACTTCAGGCAGTCAACTGCCAACTACCACAAAAATTAAAGGTAAAGGTGATTTTTTTTTTTTCGAGATAAAGCATGCACACTCGGTACTGCTTCTTCCCCAGTCAGGGAGCGTAATAATAACATCGAATGCCATCTATTAAACGCAGATGCTTTCTAGAGAAAACCTAGCGACAGCCTTGCTATTGAGGAAGCAAGAGGGCTGTCGTGGGTTGTGCGTTTCAAGGCCAAGAATAAGGTTCGGGAACCGACCTAAAACAAATATGGAGGTGAAAAGGCTCAAGGAGCTTCCTGAACTCACCAGCCAGGGACAGGCTATTATACGCTGTCAGTGTCTAAGGAGCAGGGCAGCAGGGAGGCACATGGACAATGAGAGGGCACGCGAGGTGCAGGGGATCGCGCCCAGGAAAAGCTCAACAAGTCTGGAAGATGAAGGATGCGCTGAGGTGGAGGACCGCTGCCACGCGGCTCCCGCTGGCCTCGGCACCACCAGCGGGACTAACCATCCCGGGCTGCCTCCGCGGGACGCCCGCCCCGGACCAGGCTGTCCGTCCACCGGGACGGTGCCGGGAGCCGGCGCCTCCGCCCGGGGCCCGCAACCTTCCAGGAGGAAGGCGACGTCGGGGCCTGTCGAAAGTGGGCGCCGGGAGCCCCGGTGCGCGGCGCGGCGCGGCTCGGCCCCAGGCGGCGGCCAGGCGCGAGGCGGGCTCGCGCGGAGGCGCCTGGGCGAGGGGGCGGGCGCGCCATCATGAAGGGAAGATGGTGGGCGGGCGGGCCCGCGCGCGCGGCCGGCGTACTCACCCGGGCGGGCCAGTGCGGGTAGCCCTTCATCTTGGCGAAGACCAGGTCCCCCGCTTTGTACTCGCGGGGCCGCGGGCGCGCCATCCCGGCCGTCCCCCTCCGGCCGGCTCGTCCTCGGTCGCCGCGAAGGTGCCGGGAGGCCGTCCCCCGGCCTCCACCCGCGGGTCCCCGCGGGCCTCGGGCCGGCCGCTCCGACGGAGGGGAAGCGGCGAGGCGGCGGCCGAGGCGGGCGGTGGGCGCGGGGGAACCGCAGGCCCGGCTGCCGGGGAGGGGAGCCCGCGCCCGGCCGCGCCGGGTCCCGCCGCCGCCGCCGCTACCGCCGCGCGCTGCCGCTCACAGGGGCCGCGTCGCCAGCCTCATGCCGCCGCCGCCGCCTCCCCGCCGAGCTTCTGGGTTCCGGGCGAGCTCCGGGCCTCGCGCCTCCTCCGAATTCCTCCTCGGGCAGCGACCGCAAACACGATCTTATTATTGTTCTCGCGCGCGCTCAGCATCCCTCCCCCCCCCTCCTCGCCCGCCCCGCTTCCCTCCCCTTCGCCAGCCGGCCGGTTAATTCCTAGGTGCACGGCCGGCTTTCCGCGAGAAACCGCGCGCGCCGCCCCGGCTCGCTCCGCCGGGCTGACGGTGGGCGCGTCCTCCCGCAGCAGCGAGGCCGGCGCCCGGCGGGTGGGAGCGCCTACTCCGAGGACGCCCGCCGCCCGCTCTCTTTTGTTCTTGGCCGGGAGCTTGCCTGGCTTAGCCCAGCCAATCACCACCCGGCCGCCCCTCTTCCCTCCTGCCCGCGCCCACCCCCCGCGGACTGCACCCCCCCCCCCCGCCACCCGCCGCCCCCCATCCGCGGGCCACTTCCCCGGGTGCGCTCGTGGTGAGTGGGGGGAGTTGGGGGACAAAGGCGCCCCAGGCATGGAGGTGGTGGCGCCGGGGATTCGCTGCCTGGAAAGAGCGAGGGACCCCTTCAGGTTCTTTTGCCCCAGGTCTGCCCTAACAATGCAGTGAGAGCCACCTAGGGCGAGCTGCTTCGCTGGAGTCAAGGCCCGTCCTCAGGGACAGGATGGCACAGTCGGGTTTTGAACATGGACCTATATGGTTCAGTGACCGTAGCCGTTAATGCTTCTCTGTGGCGGGTCTTCGTGGGCCAACAATCTGGGGGGGGGAAGTGACAAGTCACTTGTTTTCGATTACTGGACATCAGTTTCTGGTGATTTCTTTATACAGGTCAGTAAGGTCCAGAACAAACGTGTGTGTTGACCGTTGTCTTATTTGGATGTCAGCTGACTTCTTTCAAAGACATTTGGGACATTTATAACATTCTCCTTTGTGAGAGGTAAATAAAATAATTCACTCCTTTCTGAATCTGCCCGATGAATGAATGAATGAATGAATGCTCCTCTTCCATCACAGTGAACATACCTCCTTTTATTATTATTATCATTTATTAAAATGTATTCAGTCTGTATCCCGGCTGTGGCCCCCTCCTCCTTCTTTAAAAGGTCCACTCTGTCGCGCTACTGGTGGCCTTCACCTGGTTTAGGCAACAGCTCTGGTTTGTGGACTGCTGTCTTCTCTGCCGTTTCTCCCAACTGAACAAAGTGGGTTTTCCGAGCATCGGCCTCCCTCGCCGGTGCTGGAGAATTGTGTTTTAACGCAGGCTTTCAGTGCTGGGCTTCCAAAAACCGGAAGTAGTCTGTAGACTTTCTGTGCAGGGTTTATTTTGTTCATGGTTCTTGGCCATTTCTTTCCTAGTGCATTTCTTTTTGTGTCTCTTAATTCTTCTGCCTCCAATAGGCTCACCTTTTCCTCTCTTCCAGCGAAATAAGTCTAGGTCTTTTGCTTTGTCTGTGATAGCCCGATAATGTGCTTTTCATAGCTATCGTAGGTCCCTGGAATGTTTCCTAGACCCTTATGTCAAAGCCACATCTCTTGACAGGCTGCCAGAGCCCTGACTGCTCAAAGCCGCAATGGTCCAGTCTCCCAGTGGGCTCAGGGTAGTCATGAGTAGGGGAGAAAATTGAGAGACGGTACTAGTGTGGAAACCATGGAAGGAAGTTAAGCTGGAGAGTCACATGATCATAGTTGGGTTTAGACAGAGTACTCAGGTGGTCAGTATAGAGGTGGATCTGAGTGTCAGAGGCTGGAGCCAGAGCCCTGCCTGAGGGGCTTTCGCCAGGAGAGAAAAGACATTGTCTCAGGTATCTTGCTGACTCCTGAGTGGCAAGTAGGTAGGGAGAATGGTGACTAAAATATGATTCCTTGGTTTTTGGACTAAGTAACAGGATTTTCAGCATTTGGAAAGGTCAGGAAGTCTTTGAAGGAATAGGCAGGTTTGCAGCTAAGAGCATGAGTTAGTTTTAGACGTGTTGAGATTTCTGTGGGTCATATTTAGTGGGCTGTTGGTTAAGAAGAATGTAGAGAGTTGAGTCATATCAGTGTACCAGTGGTGATCAAAGCTATGGCAAAGTCCAGGCACCTGTAGACCGAGAGACACGATGGCCAAGTCTGGAGACAGGTCACCAAAAGTTTAAGGTCAAGTGGAAGAAAAATAAGTGTCACAGGAGCCGGACGCATTTCTAGTAGAAAGGAAATGTCTAGGCAGATGGCATAGAGAGGATAGGTGAGCTGCTAGAGGAGAGGTTCCATTTTATTATGCTGACTGGGAAGTCACTGGCGAGCTTGTTATGTACTGAATAGTAATGGAAAGAAACCAGAGCGAGGTGCATCAGAGGCAGAAATGTGGAAGCAGGAAGTGCAGACAGCTCATTCTCACCAGTGGAGAAAAGACAGCAAGAAAGCAGGGAGAGACCGTTCTATTGTGGTGGTGGGATAGTTTTTAAACACAGGACAAACTGGAGTTTGTAAAAAGGGGGAACAGATGGCCAAGCAGACAGAGGCAGGTTAAAAGGGGGTAATTGATAGGACTTCCGTTATGTTGAGAAGGTAGACATTTCTCCCAGTCTTTTGGTTTCCTGTTTTCAGTTGAGCCTGGCCTTACTGCTCCCCACATATCATCAGCCTGACTCTTGTGCCTTAACCAAGCCAGATTTAATAACACAAAAGCAGGGAATCCCCTTATGAGTTGTCTTTGGATGATCATCAGGACTGCCTGGCTAAGAGCCTGTCTGTCTGTAGCCAGGTTGGACGTTGATCTGCTAGGGATGAAACAATGCCCTGCAGTTTTCACAGAAGCTCTGACTGGTTTCTCCACTTTATACAAAGAGCTAATGCTATGGAAATTTCAGAATAATGCTCTATTCAAGCATTTAAAATAATATGAAACCCTCTAGAGGTATCATCAGGACCATGCAAAAAGAACCTGATGTATTTATTACAGTGTGGTCAGTAAAGTTGGTCTGTTTGCTATATTAGCACTTGGGAGGCAGAGGCAGGAGAATCAAAAGTTTAAAACCAACCTCAGGCACAAAATGAGTGTAAGTCCAACCTGGATTATATGAGACCATATCTTAAAAAAATATCAATTTTATTTCTGAAACTTGGAGGGGAACCAAGAAATCTGGGCCAGGGATCTTTTCTGAGACTGACACACCAATCAAGGACCATTCATGGAGATAACTTAGAACCCCTGCTCAGATGTAGCCTGTGGCAGCTCAGTATCCAAGTGGGTTGCCTGGTAAGGGGAACAGGGACTGTTTCTGACATGAACTCAGTGGCTGGCTCTTTGATCACCTCCCCCTGAGGGGGGATCAGCCTTACCAGGCCACAGAGGAAGACAATGCAGCCAGTCCTGATGAGACCTGATGGTCTAGGGTCAGATGGAAGGGAAAAGGACCTCCCCTATCAGTGGACTTGGAGAGGGACATTGGAGGAGATGAGGGAGGGAGGGGGGGATTGGAAGAGAATGTGGGATGGGGCTACAACTGAGATACAAAGTGAATAAACTAATATTAAAAAATTTAAAAAATTGAATGCTGAAAAATACTGTAGTAGTATCCATTTTCTTTGATCACTTTTAACTTCAGAATTCTCAAATATCCTTGGGCTGATGCTTTCCTCTGCCTCTGGCGCCATGGTTTATTTTGTAAACCTTATTTTACTCATGTCCATTATGTACGTTGTTGAGTTCATCTTGCTTTCACCTTCTCCTTCATATCTTAAGTTAGCATCCAGTAAAGTTTCAGTAATTCTTTCACATCCTGCCCTTAAATTCACCCATTCCAATTGCCCAAAATATATTCCTTTGCCTGAAATTATTTGTGAAGCGGAATATGGGGATTCTGGGAAAGGTGAAACTAATCTAACGTGCACAGTCACTACGTTAGAAGAGAGCACTTGTGACCTTGAATCAGTCCATTTCATCCGATTTGGATACTTGAAGCATCTCGTAAGTGCCTGCAACTCAATCCCAAGGTCTCACCCTCCTTGAGAGAAAATGAGCTTGTAGACACCGACATGTCTTAAAACTGCCGTGAGAGAACTCCCTCACTAAGTGTGCATTGGCAGAAGGCACCATAAAGCCTGCGTGGGCTAGAATGGGAGAGGTTAGGGGCCAGACAGCATTAGCAGAGTGGGGATGGGTAACAGAAGCAACCATACCAAGGCTGGCAGGCAGAGAAGCAGAGGACGCTCTCAGGATAGTATAGGATATAGTAAAGGCCTCCAAAGATGCTGCTAGGACTTCCTGAGAATATTGCAGGTGTTATAGCAAATAAGAAATAGAGTGTTGGTGTATATAGTGTTTATCATTAGCCCTAAGATTATCACGGCAGTAATATCTAACCTGCTATCACAAATAATAAGATATAGACACCTGTTAGATTTTATAATTACCTTATTTACCTTGAGCTGGGCAGATATTTCACTTACATAGAATCAATAACCTCACCATCCATCTCCCAGCCCCCACCCAATGCCATCCACCTCAATCATCCTCATCTAGTCTATCTTCTATACACAATCCCATGGTATTTGCTTGCATTCTTCATCTGGGCTTTTTCACTCCCTTATTGGAGTCCTTCATCCTTAAATACGTGGTTCCTTCTCCACACTGTACAATCATGGCATCCTCCTTCCTCATCTCTTCCAGTCTATCTATTTTCCGTGATTCTTTCTTGACCCCCAAAGCCCGGGAACCTTAGCCACACCTACCTCATTCTGCCCTGCCCAGGTAGAGACTGTAAAATCAACCAATCAGTTATAATGACTTAGGCA